ATATATATATATATAATTATTTGCACTGCGCGATAATAAGAGCGCGATTTGTTGAGCCCGATTAATAAAGAAAATGCAATATTTGCAAAAACATGTCGCAACATGTTTCGCGATGACATCATCAATTTAACACGTGCAAAAGTGCACCCATTGCAATAAAAAGATTTTAGATACATCCGGTGATAACATTAATATAATTTGTCGCCGCAAATTGTAGCGTCAGCAAAATTGCAAGTTTGTCAGCGTAATTTAAGAAATTTTTTCAAGGACATTAACATATTTTGGCGATGACATCATCAATGTAATTTGATACAACACTTGCAAAATATGCAGCATTTACAATTTCATCAAAGTATATCTGCTTTGTTAGCGTAATTTAAGAAATTTTTTCAAGGACATGATACAACATGTCACAACATGTTAGAGCGGTGATCATCGATGTAATGTCACGTGACCAAGTAAATTATATAAATAACAAGTTTTAGGTGCACCGCTCTATTAGTCAATCTAACAGCACAAGTGACAACATGGAGCGTGATATGATTGAGCTTGTTTAATACAAGAGAAGAGTACGTCGCGTGGGAACAACGTTGCGACCAATTTATAGAATCTCTAGAGGAGCAGAGCCGTATCAAACGCTCGCGATTATCGATTGGTAATTGACAATCAGTGATCGCATGTATCGTGCGACTTGAAAGCTTGAAGGATTTGGTGCGTGGACGATTCGTGCACGTAGGCGCCGGATATGGACTTCGATGGCGCGAGATCGAAACGGCGTTCGAAAATCTTATTCTAACGGTAATAAACTCCAATTACATCGAACCTCGGCGATTTCTCGAAGACGCGAGTGAAATTGTGCTCGAGCGTGTACAGTGTATCATGCAGAGATATGACTCTATAAAAATAAACACTATTTTTAATGGTGAGTTCGTGGCTGGTGATATACGCTCGAACAAGAGTATCGCCACCCGGAACATTGAAGTCTTTCGATGTACCGATTTGCGTGATACGTGACGCGCGTCATCGAACCTATCCTAGCATCGTTGGAAGAGTTCCAGGAACACGACAGCGGATGGACACTGTCGCGTATACTAAATTTGGCGGTGAACGCGAATAAACTAAATCCTCTGCGCGCGGGATGTCACGTCAAACTCCCGCGAGAAATTATGCTAAAGAGAGCGGTTATCAACGTGCAATCCACGGACAATGCATGTTTCGCGTGGTCGCGGCTCTACATCCAGCTCAAAAAAATGTGGAACAGGAATCTTCGTATCCACATTATTCATCGGTACTGAATCTCGCGAGTATCGAATTTCCAATGACGTTGAGGCAAATTAGGAAATTTGAAGCTCTAAACGACATTTCCATCAACGCCTACGCCATCGCGAAGGGAATTGTGCCGGTACGATTCGCCGACCGAAAAAGGAGCAAACACGTAAACCTGCTGTACATGGAGAACGATAGCGCGGGACCCTTTGCGCTGATCAAGAATCTATCCCGCCTTGTCGGCTCACAAATTAATAAAAAGGGGCATAAGAAATATTTCTGCGATAGGTACGTAATAATAATAATAATAATAATAATAATCATAATAATAACAACAACAACAACAATAATAATTGTTTCCAAATGCCTCCACTAATTTAGCACGAGCGCAAAATTGGAGACCCACAGCGAGGATTGTGAAAAACTGAATGATTGCGCAATCAGATTACCGAGCGAGGACGACAAATGGCTGAGCTTCCGCAACCACTGTCGGAAAGAGCGCGTCCCGTTCATCAAGTCTACGCCGATCTTGAGTGTGCATTGGAAAGAATAGATAGCGATTCACAATCCGCTACTCACACGTACCAACATCACAACGTCTTGAGTATCGGATATTACGTGCATTGCTCCTACGACAGCTCGCTATCAGGCTATCGATTTCGCCGTGATAAGGACTGCATAGCTTGACGGAAGAATTTAAAAATTTGGCGCATAGTCTATAAGGTAAATGTCCCATTTATGATTATGTAAGATAGTCGCATGAGTTAATAAGAATAAAAAATACTAAAAAATAGTTAAAATCAGGAATCAATTTTACCGAACTCAAGATTAATTATTTTTATATCGAAAAACATGTTTTTCTGAAGTTCTAAGCACAATCTAATAAAAATAAAAAAAAGAAATAACGGACTATGTAAATGTACGCATTTATGACCGATTGAATTTAATCTGGCCCTATCATGACACCATCATCTGTCCCGGTTAGTGACTGGTGCATCTGATGAAATGTATCATTTAGTGACCGGCGAATTAATTTTCTTGACGTCAATTTGATGTCACGTTGACGATCATTTCTCGTTCAAATATCGATAAAAATATACTCACTCGATGCGTTTTCGCATAAAAATAAAGATTAGACAGAAAAAAAG